GGTCAGACCCAAAGCAAAGCAAGGGAAGGGATCTCTCACTTCAGAGCCATGTTTTTATCAGGCCAGGGRTCATTGGTTCCCTTTTGGTCAGTTCTCAGGGTTCAAAGGTCTCCTCTGCTCTGGTTCCCCTCTTCCTCTGGGCTGGAATCTGCCCTTGGGATTTTTGCTTTCTCTTAGAAAAAGAGTGGAATTATTCTTCCAGATAGAAGTGAAACTGCATTCTTCTCTCTGTGCCATGACCCTGGGTTTCTCTGGCTGCTCCTGAGAGACAACTCTTGCCCAGCAGGGATCTGCCCCAGCAATGTGCTAAGGGAAGATCTGCTGGATCCCTGTCCCAGCTCCGTGCCAGGCCTTGGCTCATTCCCCCTCTGGATGGAAAGTCCTCTCCTGCCCAGTCCAGCCCCTCCTGTCCCTGACTCACAGGGTTTTCTGGAGCATCACTGTTGCTCCCTGCTGTTCTGCCTCCCTCCTGTTTTCCTCTGAACCCTTCCCAGGCCAAAGTCAGAGCCAGCACCTGCTCTGCCCCCTCCCTCCAGCCCCAATCCCCATTCCCTGTGACCCTTGTGTGATCCTATGGCCATTCCCTGCTCTGCCCCAATCCCTGTGACCCTCGGGTGCTCCCATGGCCATTCCCTGCTGTGCCCCAATCTCTGTGATTCCCAGGTGCTCCCAGAGACATTCCCTGCTCTGCCCCCTCCCTCCAGCCCCAGTCCCCATTCCCTGTGACCCTTGTGTGATCCTATGGCCATTCCCTGCTCTGCCCCAATCTCTGTGATTCCCAGGTGCTCCCAGAGCCATTCCCTGCTCTGCCCCAATCCCTGTGATCCCCAGTGCTCCCAGGTCCATTCTTCTGTCTGACCCCCAGCCTGGCTGTTGTGCTGTGTTGCAGGAAGAGGTGGATGCCGGGGCCATCATTTTCCAGGAGGCGGTTCCGGTGAAGGTGGGGGACACGGAGGCGGCKCTGGCCGAGCGGGTGAAGGAGGCCGAGCACCGCGCCTTCCCCGCGGCGCTGCAGCTCGTGGCCAGCGGGGCCGTGCGCGTGGGCGAGGCCGGCAAGATCTACTGGAAATAGGAGCCAGGGCTGGCCTCAGACGGGAGCGGGGCCCTCGCTGCCCCGGGCTGGCACGGGCTGCTCCCTCTGCTGGCCTGGGCCTGCTCTCACTGTCAGGGTTAAAGATCCAAACCCCRGCAAAGCCATCCATGGGAATTGGGGAGCCGTTCCCAGCGGGTGCAGCAATGGCTCCTGTAAGTGCTTCCTGATTTTAATCCCTTCCTTGGCCAACATTTCGGTTCTCAATTACTTTCCCAACAACCCAAACCCAGCCAGGTGCTTCCAGAGGGTCTGAGCAGCCCCAGGATGGACTCTGTTCCCAAAGAGCCCCTCAGCCTGAAATGGGGACCCCCCTTGTGCTGGAAGTGTTGGTGAGGAAAACGGCAGCGGAAGAGACAGACAAAGGCAGAAACCCCCGCTCCAAAAACCTCATCAGACCAGGAAAAACTGACCTCCCAAAACACCAGTCACTGCTTTTTCTTCCATTTGCTTCCTGCTTTGATGGTGGTGGATCTTGCTCGGCCCAGACCCTTGCCATACCCTGTCATTTCCCTGTCAGATGGCAGCAGGATTCAGTGTCTGCTGCCCCTTTTTCCTCAGCATTCCCAGGTGAATTCCCATGAATTGCCTTTAGAGATTTGTCCAGCACCAAAAGGGTTGGATTTTTATTTTTTTAATTGAGAAAGACCTGATACAAAACATGTCCTTGGCTTGTGAGCCATTCCTCAGGAATTCTGAAGTGCCTGTATTCTTGGAACAGTGTTTYCACCTGGAATAACACTGAGGGACACCCAGGAATTATGAACATTTGGAAAACAATCGGGGCTGTTGTGCAGCTCAACACTTGCGGTTTTCTTCTAACATTTTTGTATAGCTATGAAACCATTTTAATGTTCTTACTGAAATGATCAGGTTTCCCACACACAAAGCAGATGCGGTGGTTTAAAGCTCCCCTTTAACACAAAGAAAGCTGATTTTATTCTGGGCTCTGATGTCCTGATGGTACTTCCATGTTGGCATAATCTCCTTTGGGATTTGAAATAAAGCCTAATAAAGTTTAAAAAAAAAAATCGATCTACAAATATTTCCTTGGAATTGCTTTCCCAGGGCTGTAGGGTGGAGGAGGGAGGGGCTGGACAGGGTCTGGGGGCTGTGGGTCAGTGGGGAGGTCATGCAGCTCCAGCCAGGGAACACAGAGAAGGAGCTGGAGGGGTGAAATCACTGCCTGTCCAGGGAATCCATCTCACATTATTGATCACAGCAGTTTGATCACTGCCAGAGAGACCAATGGGGAGATTTGCCCCAAATCCAACACCCAACTCCATCACAGGCAGCCTGAGCAGCTATTTTCCTATGCAAGGCTGATGTGATATGGGATTTCAYGGAGTCACAGAYTGGTTTGYGTTGGGAGGGAMCTTAAAKCCCACCCAGTGCCACCCCTGCCRTGGCAGGGACAMCTSCCACTGTCCCAGGCTGCTCCCAGCCCCARTGTCCAGCCTGGCCTTGGGCACTCRAAGGGATCCAGGGGCAGCCACAGCTTCTCTGGGCACCCTGTGCCAGGGCCTGCCCACCCTCCCAGGGAACAATTCCTGCCCAATATCCCATCTGGCCCTGYCYTCTRGCACTGGGAASCCATTCCCTGGCTCCTGTCCCTSCAGCCCTTGTCCCCAGTCCCTCTCCAGCTCTCCTGGAGCCCCTTCAGGCCCTGGCAGGGRCTCTGAGCTCTCTCTGGATCTTTCYCTACSCSAGCTGAGCACCCCCAGCTCTCCTAGCCTGGCTCCAGAGGGGCTCCAGCCCTGGAGCARCTCTGTGCCTCCTCTGGAGTGGCTCCAGCAGCTCCATGACTTTGTTGTCCCACCCTTGACAGCAGGTCTTGATTTGGATTGCTCTGGACAGCTCCCGGGGCTCTGCCACAGAAATGGATCCCTTGGAGGAACAAATTCCCAGACCAGTTTTGCAGCTGAGTACTTTCCTTGTAACACATTTTCTCCTTGACAGGTGAAAAAACAGAACAAAGGAATTCCAACGCTGAAAAGCCAGCCCCGCTCCCACCATCACTACTCCAAGCGGGTGTGACAAAASCTGTGAGCTCAGGGAGAAGGCTGGGAATGGAAACTTGGGACACTGACACATCAAAGAGAAGCACATGGAGGAGGAGGGCAGAGGAGGGCAGAGGAGCAGAGCSGAGCCCCTCAAGGACCTGCCCAGAGCCCGTCGTGTTCCTGGGGCTCTGCAGCCGCAGGGGAGCACGCTCCGTGCCCCTGCTCCTCCTGCGGGCTCGGCCGGTGGCTGTCCCGCCTCCAGCAGGTCCGTCCGTGGRCTCCGAGCCAGGCGGCACCGCTGGCCACGAGCTGCAGGGCGCGGGGGAAGGCGCWGAGCGCGGCCTCCTGCAGCCGCTCGGCCAGCGCCGCCTCCGCCTCCCCCGGCCGCGGCCGCAGCGGCTCCCGCCGGATCGCGGCCCCGGCGCCGGGCTCCTCCTGCGGGGGAGCGGGGTCAGCGGGCCCGGCCGAGCTCCCGGGAACGCTCCGGGGGCTGAGGGCGGAGCATGGGGCCGGGGTGGGCAGGAGACCCTGGGGACACGCGGAGCGGGGACAGCGCCCTCRGGGACAGCGCCCTCAGGGACAGCGCCGGCACCTCGGGGCGGGGGCGAGAGCGGGGCTGGCACGGTCTGGGAGCAGGAGAAAGGGAAAAACCAGCCCAAAACGTGAGGGAAGACAGTACCTCAAGCAAACCCAAATCTTTCTGGTTTTTACTGGTAACAATCCCAAGGTTCCCACACATTCCTGTTACCTCTGCCTGTTTCTGTCTCCAGAAGAAAAGGAAAAAGCAAATTCCTTTTCCCGCCGTCCCGGCTCTGAGGCCACTCACCAGGACGAAATGCACGGTGCAGCCAGTGACTTTGAATCCACCTTCCAGGGGCTCCTGATGAGTGCTTCCATCCTTGATGAGTGGAGAAAGTGATGGAGAAGCATTCAGAATTTTCCCTGRGCATCAGTGTGAGARGAGGAAAAGAAAGAAAAGATAATTTGAACTGAATTTAATTTAAAAASAAAAGTGAGATGTGATCATCAATCCAAGCCCTGAGGAGCCCTGCTCTCATCTGAGGGAATTCTGCTCTTCCAGAAGCACAGGTTCAGCAACATTCCCAAAGGAGCCTGTCCAAGCTGTGGGTGAGGKAGAAACTCCTGAGCCAGGCCTCAGCAGCTGGCACTCACTGACTGCTCAGCCTTTATTCACTCTCTGCTCACCCCTCACTCACTGCTCACTCTTTATTCACTGTCTGCTCATCCCTCACTCACTCTGTGCTCACCCTTTATTCACTCTCTGCTTATCCCTCACTCACTTGAGTTGTCAGGGCACACAAGAGGAGCTGTGCCAGGGTGTGCAGGGCACCACAGGAGAGAGAAATCCCTCCTGGGAATGGAGAAATCYGTCTCTCTCCCATTTTTTCCCGAGTGGGAGCTGCAGGAATTGAGTTCCTTGGCAAAGGATGGGATCAAACTCCTTCCCTGGGGAAGGCACAGACCCACCCCATGCCCACATTCTGCCCGTCTGTCACTCCTAAGGCAGCACAAGGGGTTTCTCTGCCAATCCACAGCCAAAAGCCCAATGCAGAGGGGATGGAAGCAGAACCCCAACCCAGTCCCACTGCCAGAGGGGATGGCAGCACAGGGCAGCCCCACTGCTGCAGCAGTGCCAGCAGGGCTGAGGGTGTAACCAAAAAGCTCTGACAGTGGAGCCCTGGGGCAATCAGCCTGGTTTAATTCCTCTTTCCCATGTCATTCCTTACCTTTCCATTTTCGGAGAAAAGCGCTGGACAGAACTCTGGTGAATCCTGACAGACAGATGAGCTCCACAGAGAATTCCTCCAGCACTCGGTCAATGGTGCTGTCGAATTCTGAGCGGCTCCCRTACAACTTGTGATCGATCACCTGGGCCAGGGAAACAACAAAAGCCACATCGAGGAAACAACTCAGGATTGAGTTGTTTGGGATTGAGGGCAGCAGCTTTGGAAACAAAGGGAAACAAACTGGATCCACTCCAGGATGCTCCATGATGTGAAAGGAGGGTACAGTGAGTGGCTGTTCTGCCATGTCCCAAGGGAAAGGATGAGAGGAAATGGCCTCAAATTGCACCAGGGGAGGCTCAGAGTGGAGATTGGCAAAGAAAATTCCCTGTCAGAGTGGTCAGGCCTTGGAATGAACTGCCCAGGGAGGTGGTGGAGCCAACTGGCCACACCTCTGGGTAAGGGGACGAGGAGCTCCTTTATTTCTACCCCCTTCATTCCCAGTCCCCCAGGCGAGAGCCGATTCCTGACTCTCACCTGACTCTCACAAGGGCCTCCAAAACAGGGGCTCACAAGCCTCGTGCTCTTGTCT